AAGACCACAAGGGAATTCTGCTCCATGGGTTCCTCTGGTAACACACGTGTTTATGCTAAATAAATGCATAAAAGTAGGAGGGCATTCCCTTGTGTATTAAGGAAATAACTGTTCTTTAGTGTCTGGATTTAGCAGTAGGAGCTGGAGGTTGTTCCTCGGCGTGGGAAGCAGGAGAGCAGCTGCAGCAGGTCACATCCATGGATGGGAGATACCAATGCTCCAATGGGTGATTGGAGCTGAGAGCTCCCTGCAGAGCCAGAGCTGCTGCTGGTTCTGTTTTTTTTAGCAGAACTGTTGGTGTTTTCCTTTGGCTTGGCCTTCCTTGGCCTTTGGTGGTGGCTGGTGTTGGGTCTCGTGCAGTACTCCGGACGTTGACCTCAGTCCATGCTGGGTTTAACGCTCTTTCAGATGGTGAAAACGGGACTTTTACTGTTGTCCCTGTAAAGAAAAGTGAGATGTGATGGCTCCTCACTGGGAGGTGCAGCCTGGCTGGTACCTGTGGTGGGTGATGGATGCCAAAGCTCCATCACCTCTGAGTGCCCTCGGAGCAATGGCGTCCGCTTGTCCAAACAAAGTGCGTGTGAGATCCATGGGATGGCCAACAGGAAAACGGTGCAATCTTAGAAAGGGTGGACTACAGGATGGGCAAGACAGATTAATTTTCTTCAGCATCCAAGTAGCTGTTTTCATCTGGCTCCTTGTGGATGCCTCATGCCTCGAATTGTTCCAGGCCAGGTTGGACGGGGCTTGGAGAAACCTGGGGTTGTAGAAGGTGTCCCTGCCCATGGCAGAGGGCTGGAATGAGGTGATCTGTAAGGTCCCATCCAACCCAAACTATTCTGGGATTCTCTATTGGATTTTTCTGTCTGGCTTCAGCAAACACCAAAGAGAAGGAAGAAACTTCACCTCAAGCCTAGATCCGACAGAGGTGGCTGGTGACTGTGCTGGTGCTGATAGATCTTGGGGTGGTGCACAGGGCTGGCTGGAGCCAGAGACTCTCTCTGCTCTGAGCTTGCTTTGCTATTGCCTTTTCAGAGATGAAACCCCAGGTTCCCTCCATGCTGGGCTTGCCCTCAGACATGGTGGGCTGCTGCTGTGTGCTCCCAGCACAGTGGGACGATCCTGCCCTCTCTGTTGATCCTGTGGGATCTGAGCAGCTGCAAAAATGCAGGTGGGGGAGGCAAGGACGGATCAGGGTCCTCACCTTCCTGGCCCTTTGTTTCTGTTCCTCTCTTTTTCCATCCCTTGTTCCCCCCAGACATCTGCTCTGCAGCTGCAGCCGAGCAGTGGGACGTGCAGCCCCCGAGCTGCCGCAGAGCTCCTGCTCCCGAGTGCTCTGGAGCTGCCGGGAGATGTCCTGTAGGCTAAAGGGGCTACAGGACTCTGAGGAGCTGCCTGGAGGAGCAGAAGTCTGTAATGTGCTGTAGGACACTCCTGTAGCCATCACAGCAGTGCCAGGGGACACTGACTTGGTCTCTGCCACCCCACCGTGTCCTGCTGCCAATGCCCATCACATGGCATGTCCCAGAGCACTCAGTCCTTCTGGTGCATCCCGTGCCCCTGAGCTTGGCTGTCCCCTGTTCAACCCTGCCCTCTGGGGTCTGTGAAGAGGTTTTGGTGTGAAGAAGAGGCTTGGGTTAGTGGTGGCCTTGATCCGAAACAGCTTTCCCAGCTTAAACCATTCCATGATTCCATAATCCTACGCATCATTTTTTTGTGGCTAATATGTCTGCTTCAGTTCTTCCTTCTCATCTTCATTAAAGACAGCACTGGCTGTAAACCTGGATTTAGGTTGTTCTGAGTGATGTTTGTGGAAGCAGAGGTGTTCTCTGAGCAGGTTGGGCTCCTCTCCCAGGTGCCTCCTTTTGGGTGGACGGGTGCTGCAGCGTCACCCCGGTTTCCTGGTGGCCGTTCCTGCGTGCTGCAGCACAAAGCTCTGCACACTGCGGGCGTGAAGGGGTGCATGAGGTTTTAGAACAGAATAAACCAGACCTGGGGCTGCTGTTGAGTTCGTTTGAGGGGAGGAAATGAGAGCTACCACATACAGCTGATAAGGGTGGTCACACACAGCCCTGGAGCCCAGCGGAGGGATGAGTGGGCAGAGATAAGGCGGGGGGGTGCTCTGGGGGGCTCTGATGGTGCTGCTGGGGGTCTCTGTGCCCAGCCTGCATGGATGATGATCCAGATCTGATCCAGACACCCAACAGCCACAGCCTCCCTGCCCCGTGGTGGCCAGAGGGGTTCCTGTGTGGGTTGTACCAGCCGGTACTTGCAGACACCATCAAGAAATTCCTGTGCAACCTCTAGGATCATTTTTACCCCTGGATGTCCCTCCTGTTCATGTTCCCAGCAGTGTCTGGACAGGAGTGGGGTGGCAGAGGGCTCTGCTGCCATCCCCCCTGTCAGGTGCCATCCCCAGAAAGCGATGCCCTTGGAGCAGACATTTCAGAGCTAGAGGTGAAGGAGGCATTTGAGCAATTCCTGATTGGTGACATAGCAAGGAACAGTTCCCAAAGCTTGTGGGACCTATTTACTGTGTGAAGGTTAATTATGGAAACGCGCCGTGTCTGGGAGAACATCCAAGACCATTCCTCATTCCTGTCCATGTGCCCTGTCCATGTCTGGCAGCTCCAAAATCTCTGCACTTTGCTGAGTGGAGCTGGCAGCTGGAAGCAGAAGGTGCCCATGGCTGGCAGATGCCTGTGGCTGTGTGGAGCTCTGTGTGCCCCCTGTCCAAGAGCCCAGCTGGGTGGGCAGTGAGTTCCAGCTATGCCCAGTGCTGGGAGGGCATGGTGGGGGCTCCCTCCAAAACCCCCTGGGAGGGTCTGGGATTGGCCCTTGGCTGCTGTGGGAGGGATGCCCTGCTCAGGAAGGCAGCTCTGATTTCTCCAGGCAGAGTCAGTCCCTCTGTCCTGGTACTTCGGCATGAGTAGGATACACCTTTCCCATGGGACACCTTCTTCAGCTCCTCATATTCTCAACAGTGAAGGCACATCCCCCTGGTTCCGGAGAGCTGTTGGGACTTTCTGTCATTCTTGTAAAAAGCAGGCAAGAAACTTCTGCTTATAGCCGGGAAGGAAAGTCCCTGTTGTAGGCAGTTTTACTTTCAGGCAGGATGGAAAGAAATCACACCAACACGAAAGGAAAAAGAGCAATTTTCTCCCCTTGCTGCTGGGGTTGAAGCTTCCCACGCAGTGCCAGGCAGCTGCTTCCAGCTTTCCATGAGGTAACATGTGAGCAATTTTGTGGTGGGGTTTTCTCCTCACACACTAATTGGCTGTGTGGGACGTTTTTGCTCTGGGAAGCTGAGAGCCTGGCCTGGGACTTCTTGTCAGTTTTGATTGTTAAAGTGAAAGTGCAGAGCTGGGGTTCTGGGAAGTGGCTTTCCTGCCTGCAATTCTGCTTGCCTCCAGTGCTCCAGGTTGCTTATTTTAGACCTTTTATGGAATGTCCTGGGCTTTTCCCGTTTTTCCCTGGTCCATGCCTGTTCCAGGCCAGGGTGGGGTGGACGGAGCACCAGAAGTACTTGAGAGAGAGCTATCAGGCTCCAGACACGCACAGCCAGGAGCCATTCCTGCTGGAGCCACCAGTGGCTGCCCCAGGGAAATGCCAGAGTGCAGTGACTGCAGGAAAGGGATTGGGGAACTTTGTCCTTTTTTCTCCACTTCAGTGTTGGTTTTCATCCTTTCGTTCTGGAACAATGGGAACATCTTCTCTTCCTTCATTTTTGATTTCCACTCCTTCCTGGGGGTGTTGGGGGGTCAAGGTTCCCTGGCTGGGGGGATGGACCCACTTGGGGCATTTCTGATGGACCATGGAGGCACTTGGGTCACAGTCTCTGCCCCTTGCTGGGGGCATGGGAGAGCTACTGTGGAAACCTTTTCCTTGGGAAACACCATCCAGCCTCAACAGCTGCTGGACAAGGCAGAGGCTTTGCTGGGGGAGGATTCTCTGGTGGCTCATAGATTGTGCACTGTTGGGAGCTTTTTCCACTGAAGGTGTTGGTGCTGGTGTCCCCCATGGGGTTGTCCAGGTGTTTCCTGAGGGTTCATCTCCCATGGAGAGCTTTCTGTGGAGCATGAAACATAATGGGGCTGCTGGTCTACCTTCCCTGCCTGCAGTCAGGAAGCTGGTGGGGTTTATCCCCCTTCTTTCTCAGGTGTGCATGGACTTTGCCTGTACCCTGTGCCTGCTCCTCCTGCTATACAACTGGAGTGGGACAATTTCTGCACCATTTGAACCACAGATCTCAAAGATATTGAGTTGCTATAAGCTCCTGGAAATTGTTTTCTGACAAGTGGAGGCAAGGAGACCTTCTTTGTGCTCTGCTGAGGATGCTTGATGAGCCTACATTAGACATCAGAGATCCTGGCATCTGGGGATGTTGGGAACCCATCTCTGTCGCTGCGGCCTGGGGCTCAGGCTGAGCTGGGTGGAGGGTCTCTGGGCAGCAATCCCTGGCTCAGGCTGGATTCCCAGCGGAGGCTGCAGCCAGGGGTGTGTGCTGGGCTCAGGTCCCATCACCCTGCCCGACAGTGAGGCTCCTGAGAGGTGACAGGGAGGGCTGGGAACAGGGCTGGAACGGGTCACCCTGTGCCCAGCGTCCGGCCATGCCCCACGGCAGGAGTGTTTGCCTGCCCGGCCTTTCCTGCACTTCCCTGGGAAAGCACGTCCATGGGAAGGGCGGGAAGAGGAGGAAGCTGGCTGCTGGCTCCCTCTGGGACAGGACACTTGGAAACCTTTTCTGTGACAGCACTTCTACATGAGGAGGGCTCAGCCTGGGCTGGTCAAACATCCCCCTGCTCTAGGGTGCTCCTCCCTGCTGGAGGGGCTCTGGGGGGATGCAGGATTTGCCACAGCAGGCAGAGCCTGGGACCTGGCTCCTGGAGAGGAGGGGAGGGGTGGAGGTTTGGGGCCCTGGCCCGCTGCCAGCCCGTGCGTGGGGAGGGAAGGAAATGTCGTGCTCTGACTCCGCATTTCCACCACGATGATGAGCGGCTGAGCCCAGTCCTGCACAGAGCATCCTGCTGCAGCCCTGGGCTCCGGCTGCTCCCGGCCTGCCGGGGTGGCCGTGGTCACGCTGGGTGTCCCCAGGCTCCGGCGTGGCCGCAGTCGGTGCCCGGCCATGCTCTGGCACCAGCTGAGCCCCGCTGCGGGCAGGGGTAAGCTCAGCCACGGCCCTGCTCCTGCTGCCCTCCGCCAGACCCATCCCTGGGGCAGGATCCACGGCACAGGTGGGAGATTGGTGGATTTGCTCATGGCTTGGGGCACCCGGAGCTGCGGTCGCTGGCTGGGGTTGGCCCCATGGAATTCCCATTGGGAGCAGAGTCGGGCAGGAGTGGGAACTGGCAGGTCCCTTGGCAGGGCTGTGGGAAGTGCCTGTCCCTGGGTCCTGCCCACTCCAGAGCGTGGGAGGGATCTGCTTCCAGAGCTGGCACGGCCAGAGAGCATTCCCAGGGACCACCAGTCTTGGTGCCCTCCTGCTGGACAGATGCAGCCATGGGGTGCCCTCCCCATGGCATGTTGGGTTCTTTGGGAGGGATGTGGTGCTCCACATGGACCAGCTGACGCAGGATAGCTCCGGGGTTGAGTTCTCCACTGGGATTGCTGGGTCAGAGCCCTTCTGGGGGCAGGAGGGGTCAGCCCTGGCTTTTGGCAGGATTAATGGCATTGTTAATGACAGCTGTGTGGTTTGGACCCGGATCCAGATGCTCATTCCAAAACTTTTTCCCAAAACTTGCCAAGTATTTGTGTCCAGGGCTTTGGCTTAGTCCTGTCCTGAACTGAGCTGCTTATTTGGTGCTTTTTTTTTTTTTTTTGCTTCTGTACGTTTGGAATTGGGAATGCAAACTGTAGCCAGAGCTCTGGGCTGAGGCAGTGGGCGGATGGGGATGGAATCAGAGTTTTCCAGTGCTGGGTGGGTCTGGCCTCAGCCCACTCTGTGCTGGGTGCTGCCTGCAGGAGGGACAGATCAGACCCTGAGGCTGCCAAGGCATTTTCTACCCTTGAGGTCAGATGTTGTCACCCTCAGCAGCAGAAATGTCATTGGGCCAATGGGTGCTGACCCTTGGCAATGACTTCCTGTGGCTGCGGCAGCTCTGGGTTGTTTTCCCTCAGTTTCTCTAAACGGGAGGAATTTCCCAGGAAATACTGCTGGCTGCTGAATGGGCTCATCTGGGCGATGGCTGATCCCTGTGTGAGGGGTGGGAACCAGCTGGGTGAGGGTGAAGAACCCCACCAGAGATTTGCTGCTGACTGGGATGAACACCAGCTTGAAAGAAGAGGTGGGGAGAGCTGGGAGGTGGGAAGGAGGTGGGGAGGAAGGGCTCCTTTGGCAGCCTTTGCTCGGGGATGTTTGCAGAAGTGATCAGCACTGAGCTTTGACGAGCTCTGAACTGATGATTACAAAGAAAGATCTTCCTCTCCTGCCTGGCCAAGAACTGTGTTTGGTTTGGAGGGTTCAGAAACAAAACGTTTCATCAGAAGGTTAAAACTGCATATTGTGGCCCTGTCATTCAGGTGGCATCACTGTGACCTCCTGCTCTTTGCCTGGTGCTGGCAGAGAGCTGCAGCTGAGCTATGTCTGCCCAGGACCCTGCTGCTGGTGGGACCCCTGGCTCTGCAGCCACACATCTCCTCTGCTCTGTGCACATGGAACATGGGCTTGCTGTCAGGGCTCTGGGGGTGTGGGCTGTGTTCTCAGGGCGTTGCTGCTGCTGCTGGCAGGATGCTCAGGCTGGTTTTTTGCTTTCTTACAGAAATTGAAGCCAAGAAAGCGTGTGACTGGCTCCGGGCAGCGGGGTTCCCCCAGTATGCCCAGCTGTACGAAGGTGAGAGCTGCCTCCTGCCCTGACCCTGCTCTCTGCCTGCGCAGAGCCTCTATCTCATCCAGATTCCAAGGGGGGCTGCAGGGACAGCGCCCACAGCTCCAGGGAGAGGAGGGGACAGAGGGGATTGCTCACTGATTATACGATTGTTTGTTACACTTTGAGCCCTTGGCCACGGCCTGGAGAACCAGCCAGTTAACTTCCTTGCATTCCTGAACTTTTCCCCTTCAGGCAGGGCTCTGAGGAATCCTGGGACGGCTGCTTTGGCCAAGGGCAGCCAGGCTTTGGAGAGCCATCAGCTCTGAAGTGGTTCAGGGAGTGTTTGCCGTGGGTGGGAGCACAGGGGCAGCCAGTGTAGGTAATGTGGAGAGCGAGCATGTTATTCCTCCTTCTGTCCCTCCCCACTCCCACAACCCCTGCCCTGCTCCAGCCTGTCCTTCCTGAGCACTCAGCCTGGAGCAGACCATGTTCCAGTGCCAGCACAGGGCATGGGCATTGCCCAGCCAGTGTTCCTCTTCCCAGCTCCTGTGCCAGGGCGGTGGGAGAGTGGCTGTGGTGGTGGCTCTTGCCTCAGGCTCAGCTGTGTGTGTACTTAGAAGCCTTGGGGGGATCCTGGTCCCCAGTCCCTGGCTGGTGAGGAGCGGCGGCTGCAGCCGGCCCCGTCCGGCCGGACAATAGCGGGAAGCGAGGCTGGGGCGGCCGCAGCCGTGGCCATTGTTCAGCCGGGCACTCCCCCCGCCCCCTGCAGCACCATCCCCGGGGATGGCTTTATGAGCAGCCTGTTTGCTGCCAGTGCCTAATTTGGGGGGCAGGCCCCACGTGCAAGGACAGGCCGGGTTCCTGCCGGGATACCCAGCCCCAGGTGCTGTCCCCAGCTGGGCAGCCAGGAGCGGGGCTGGTGCTGCAGTCTGTGAATCAACCAGCCCTTCTCCAGCCTCTGTCCACAGAACTTCCCACATCCTCCAAGTGTTTCCCTCTGTTTCCCTTCCCGTGGTGGTCACACTCCATGGCTTCATGGACAGATGGATTGAGACCCTTGGGGCTGAAGGTCCAGGTCCCACATGCACGATCCCAGCAGAGCTGTCTGTGCACAGGGATGAGCAGGGAACTGAATGGAGGCCCTTGGGCACCTTATCACTCTCACCTGGGCAGAGCTGTGCCCAGGGACCCTGGGACCCAGGGACCATCACCTAATGTACCTGGGCAGAGCTGTGCCCAGGGACCCTACCCAGGGACCACCTCCAGATCATCTCCAGCCACTTTGGCATCTCCTCCTCCTCCCATGCCCACTGCTGCCCTTGTCCCTGATGGAGCAGCTGGCTCAGGATCTGCCACTGATGTCACTTCCTTCCCCAGAGTCGTCATTCCCTCTTGACATCAGTGCTGTGAAGAAGGACCACAGCTTCCTGGACCAGGATTCCCTCAAATCCCTGTGCAGGTAACACTCCCTTGCCCCCCCCTCACATGGAATCAGCACAGGGATGTGGCACAGATGAGGACAGTGCCCCAGGCTGATGGGGTGGTGGGCTCAGGGGGTGCCTTATGTGGTGGTGGGCTTACCAGGGTGCCTGCCTGGACCTTGGCTGGGCTCAGAGCCCACTCCAGCACTGTCACTCCCTCTGCAGTGAGAACTCAGTTGTTCAGATCAGGGAACATTGCTGGTGTTGGGTGTTCCAGGGAAACAGGAGGTTTTTTATGCTCCATATGATGCTGGTTGTCCCAGTGCCAGGCAAGGCAGCCTGGCCACACGTTTCCACCTGGGCACAGTGCTGCTGCAGCTGCAGGCTTGGGAGCTGCCCAGGGCTGGTGTGCAGCAGCAACGTGTGGGGGACTCAGAGCAAGCCAGAGCTGGCACCCAAAGCAGGACACTGACCCATGGTCAGTCTGGATGGGCCATGTGTCACTTGGTGCTGTGAGTGACTCAGCCTTGCCTTGCCTCTCGGGACACATCGTCACACCCATGTCCCTGTGCTGGCTCCACACCGTCCCTCCCACCCAGAACAGAGGCGGGAACAGGGTCTGTTTCCTTTTTGTTTCCCAGCAGAGAGGCTGCTGTGCTGGGCAGGAGGGAATTCCCGTGCCATTTCCTGGGTGCAGTGAGGCAGGAGGTGATGGGAGGTCTCTGCCTGTCCCTCCCTCTCTGGGCTTTCGGGTCCTTTAGTCATTCCCTGTCTGGGGCACAGGAGCTTCTGAGGTGATTTTGCTTTAGTAGCCTGGAGCAGACCACCTCTGCCCACTTGCCACTAGTGGCCCCAGCAGCTTGGCTTGGGCTACCATCTGCTGGCATTGTCCCCTTGTTAGTCAGGTGCCCCTCTGACTGTGGACTCAAAGCAGCAGGTCACTAGTGGCCCCAGCAGCTGGCATGGGCATTGCCTGGCTTGGGCTACCATCTGCTGGCATTATCCCCTTGTTAGTCAGGTGCCCCTCTGACTGTGGACTCAAAGCAGCAGGTGACAGGTGACAGGCACAGCCAAGGCTCTAAGACAGGAAAATCCAAAGAAGCCAAAGCCATTCCTGTGACTGCAGCAGGACTGGGGCAGGGACTGGGACCAGGGTAAAGCCACGCTGTTTCTTGCAGGAGGCTGATGACCCTGAACACCTGTGCCTCCATGAAGCTGGATGTTCACTTTCAGCGTAAACAGGTAAGTCCTGGATGCTCAAGGCAGGTGGGGGGCTGAGGGGTGCAGGGCATCATGTTCTCAGCGGTGGGGCAGTGTCCTGATGAGCTCTGGGACTGCCCTGGGCACAGAGTGGCTCCTGGAAGCTTCCACTGCCAAAGGGGTCCTGAGCTGGTTTAAGGGGTGACCACGCTGCTCTCCTCCCCACCTGGGGCCATGCTGGTGGCCGTGCCCCTCTGAGGTGGGGGGATGTGCTGACCCTCCTCAGCTCCAGCCAGTTGATCATCCCCTGTTCTCAACCACCCGCAGAATGAAGACTCTGAGGAGGAAGAGCAGTGTGCCATCAGCACCCGGTGGACCTACCAGAGGGACAGCAAAAGGTGGTCACGGGTGGGGTCCGCCGATGTCCTGTCCCAGGGCTCGGAGGCCCTGAGCTGCACCATGCACCCGGTGTCCAGCCGTGAGAGTGTCCTCACGGACCTCAGCACCAACCCCGAGGCCACGTCCCTGCACAGCACGGGCAGTGTGGGCAGCGTGGGTGGCACCGGCGGCACGCTGGGCACTGTGGCCGTGCCATCCGAGCCCCCGTCCCCCCTCCGTGCCGCTGCCACCGCCTCCAGCTGCAGCCAGAGCGAGGGCTCTGCCCCGGAGCAGCCCTCGGGCCAGGGAGAGGGCTCTAAGGAGAAGCTGAAGAAGCGACGGTCTCGAAGCTTCCTGAAGCGGATCGAGTCCCTGCGGAAGAAGGACAAGGAGAAACCCAGCCCAGAGAGGAGGGTGGCTCCGCGCAGCAGCGCCACTCTCCCACCAGGATGGGGCTCTCTGAAGAGTGATGGGGACCTTGCAGCCATCAGGACCAACTCCTCTAAAAGAGGGACACCTGCCCCTTTCCACAGCAAAAAACACTTCTTCTCGGTATCATACAGGACTAACCGCCTGCTCGGCCCCGGGGGCACCAAGGGCAGCTCTGACCCCAAACGCGGTGGAGTTTACCTGGAGGATTACGACACAGACACAGCCACTGCCACCAGCGGTGCCTGGGATGCTGCCGAGTGCCAGCGCCGGGCTCGCCATGGCGATTGCCTGGTCTATATCCCCTGTGACCACAAACCCGGCACCTTCCCCAAATCCCTGTCCATCGAGAGCTTGTGTCCCCTGGCCGGCAGCTCCCTGACCCACTGGAAGGCAGGGAGCGCGGCCGTGGGGCTGGGCGGGGGCGGCAGCAGCAGCAGCGTGGAGGGCTCGTCCTCCCCGAGGGGCTTCGCCCGCCGGCGCCGGGGCTCCTGCAGCTCCCTGGGCAGCCGCGTCAGCGTCTACGACAACGTGCCGGACTTCGGCAGCAGCGAGGATTTCTGCAAGGACGGGGAGGTCACCTACGAGAACCTCGACGACATCCTGCAGCACGTGTGGGTGCTGCAGCAGAAGGTGGAGCTCTGGTGTAAAGCCGTCTCCCCTGGCCTGGATGGAGAGGAAGGGGGCGAGGAAGAGGAGGATGAGGAGGAGTCGGACTCGGGAGGGGAACCCTCCAACTTGCATTTCGAAGAACAGTCCATGTCGGATGTTGGCACCTCTGCCAGTGACTTTGATAGCACGGGGAACTCCCTCAACGAGGCTGAAGAGATCGAGACACGGGAGCGCCGGGATTCGGGGGTAGGAGCATCCCTCACAAGACCCTGCAGGTATCACAGAATCCCGAGGTGGTTTGGGTGGGAGGGGACCATAGAGATCATCTCGTTCCACCTCCCCCGTCCCTACGGGCAGGGACACTTTCCACTAGACCATATTGCTCCAAACCCGATCCAGCCTGGCCGTGAGCACTCCCAGGCTCGGGGCTGCTGCAGGATGGAGGGGTGCACTGCCCGTGGCTCTGGGGAGCAGCGCCCGATCCCGTTCTCGGGGGCTGGATGATCGCCTCTTCCCGGAAGGCAGAAGCGGGCGGAGGGACGGGAGCAGCCGGAGCCGCGCCGTGCGGGCAGGGGAGCGCAGCGCGGGGCGCTGGTGCGCTCTGGTGGCCGCAGGACACCGCTGCCACCGCTGCCAGCACTTCCACAGCTGCCGGCCCTGTCTGCCTGCACAGGCCCGCGATTAAAAGGTTTTTCATTAATTAATAACCAGTGTAAACGCAGCGGGTACGTGACTCCCCTGTGCCAGTATTCCCTGGGGTTCTCCCCAGGAGAGCTACGGCTGGTGCCGAGCTCTCCGGCTTTCCTCACCCAGTTTGGCTGGTGCCAGAGGGTGATGTGGCAGTATCCATGAAGGAGTGGAGAGCAGTGGGGGTTTCCTTAGCTGGGAATGTCCCGTGTGTCCCCAGAAAGCTGCGTTGGCACAGCTTCCAGAACTCGCACCGGCCCAGCCTGAACTCGGCCTCGCTGGAGATCAACCGCCAGTCATCGGCCCAGCTCAACCTGCTCCAGAAGTGCTCCCTGCTCCGGCTCACGGCCATCATGGAGAAGTACTCTGTGCCCCACAAGCAGGCCTGGACGTGGTGAGCTGGGACGAGGGGGACTGGGATGGGGCCCACAGGCTGCAGCTGGTGCTGTGTCCCCAGCCTGGGGCAGCTTCAGGGTGTGGAAAAGATAAACCAAGGGCTGTCTGCTCTGACAAGTGTGAGCCAGAGCTGAGCCCCAGGCTCCTGGCATCATCCTGGCTTCCAGGGGGGCTCTTGGCATCATCTGCCATTGTGGGGGCTGCAGGTGTTCATGGGGCATTAAAAGTGCTGTAGCAACATAAGAGAGTGGGACAGTGGTTTCTTTTCGTAGCCAAATATCAAAATTATTTTAGCTTAATAAAAGGTGCTGCCATTCCTGCTGGGAAGCTGCCTTGCTTGTATTCCAAATACTGCAGAAATGTGTGTGTGTGTGTGTGTGTGTGTGTGTGTGTGTGTGTGTTCCCAGGGTCCTGCTCTCTCTGTGAGGGGGGGCGCTGAGGGCACCGCTCATTGCACTGATGTCTCTCTGTCCCACTCTGCAGGACTGTCCCCAAATTCATGAAGCGGAGTAAAGTCCCTGACTACAGGGACAAGATGGTTTTTGGGGTGCCGCCCATCGTCAACGTGCAGCGGACGGGGCAGCCCCTGCCCCAGAGCATCCAGCAGGCCATGCGCTACTTGCGCAGCCAGTGCCTGGACCAGGTGAGGCTGCGGCTTCTGGGGAGCAGCACTGGGATTTGGGGGGGAAAGAAAAGCTTTAGGGGTCCTTTGTTCACCTCTCGTGGCGTGTGCTGAAGCGGGAGGGTGGGATTGTCCGTGGGAACGCAGCAGCATCCCCATGGCCATCCTTCGCTCAGTGTCTCCTCTGGGTTCAGGGAGATCCCTTTGGGGAGGGAGTGTTTTTGCCTGTCCCACTCAGGACGGTGCCCGCTCACCCCTGCTCTGCTCGGGCAGGTTGGCATTTTCCGCAAGTCCGGGGTGAAGTCCCGGATCCAGGCGCTCCGGCACATGAACGAGACCAGCCCCGACAACGTCGACTACTCGGGGCAGTCAGCGTACGACGTGGCCGACCTGCTGAAGCAATACTTCCGCGACCTGCCCGAGCCCATCTTCACCAGCAAGCTGACCGACACCTTCCTGCAGATCTACCAGTGTAAGGGCCGGGCTGGGGGCAGCGCGGGGTCTTGGGGAGGAGGGGTCCCTCTGTTTGGATGGAGGGGGTGGGTGGTGGCCGTGGGGACGCCCCGCTGACGCTGCCCCGTGCCCGCAGTTGTGTCCAAGGAGCAGCGGCTGCAGGCGGTGCAGGCTGCCATCATCCTCATGCCAGACGAGAACAGGGAGGTGCTGCAGACCCTGCTCTACTTCCTGAGCGACATCGCCTCGGCTGAGGAGAACCAGATGACGGCTGGGAACCTGGCTGTGTGCCTGGCCCCCTCCATCTTCCACCTCAACGTGTCCAAGAAGGAAAGCACATCGCCCAGGTAAGGGCTGGCTGAGCCCCAGCTCCCCAGTGCCCCTTCCCTGCCTGCTGTGGGAGGGGGCCAGCAGGGGATGGTGAGACATGGGGGTGCTGTTGGCTCTGCTCTGTGACACAAATGAGGGGGTCTAGAGGTGCCAGCACTACCTGATCCCCCACAGGGCCATACACAAGAAGGGCACCATGGGGAAGCCGGACCAGAAGGACCTCAATGAGAACATGGCTGCAACACAGGGGCTCTCCCACATGATCAGTGACTGCAAGAAGCTCTTCCAGGTGGGTGGCAATGGTGTCCCAGCCCAGCGCTGCCCATGGGAGGTGTTTCCTTGCTGGTAGGTGCTGGTCCTGGGGCAAGCTGAGGACATCCTTCTCTCAGTGGGACAGCAGCCACCAGCCATTCGCCCTGGAGCCAAGCCCAGCTATGTCCTGGGCAGGAGGTGGTGCAGTCTGTATGTCCATCCTCCCCACTCCCTAGGGAATGAATTATGTTCTCTGTCTGTCCAGGACCACTCACAAAGTCCCCACAGGATCTCTCTGCCTCACTGAACATCTGTGTGCTTTTGGCTTGCAGGTCTCCCATGACATCTTGCTGCAGCTGAGCAGCTCCTATATGGCTGCAGATGCTTATCCCCACCCCCTGGCTGACTTGGTGTGCCAGGGGGAGAGGAAGGATTTACACTCCTACTTTGAGCAGAGTGTCCAGAACCTGCTCAAAGAGTCGTCAGAGAAATTCAAGGGATGGCTGAGCACGCCGGGGCCCCTGAACACAGAGCTGTCCTGCAAAAAGGTAAATGCCACTGTGTGGAGGGGCTTGAAGGGAAATGTGTATGAGGTGACCTCTCCAGCAGCCAGAGCAGGTCCCACCCCATGCCTCAGTAGCAGCAGATGGGACTGTGCTGCTCTGTGGCAGTGGGAGCCATCAGTGAAGCTGCTCAGGGGTGGTTAGCACCGGGGGTCCTGTGGGACAGTCTGTGTGACCCTCACCTCGTCCCCTCAGGTTGGGGACGGGCACCCTCTGCGCCTGTGGAAGGTCTCCACGGATGTCGAGGCCCCTCCTGCCACGGTGCTGCACCGGGTGCTGCGGGAGCGTCACCTGTGGGACGAGGACCTGCTGCAGAGCCGGGTGGTGGAGGCGCTGGACAAGGACATGGAGGTGTACCACTACGTGACGGACAGCATGGCCCCGCACCCGCGCAGGGACTGCATGGTGCTCCGGTGAGGGCGGCCGGGACCCGCGGGGGGTTTGGGCTCAGTTGGGCACATCCCTGTGCTCCAGCCCCGTCTCCTGCCCCGTTCCCGGGCTGTGTGGGGCTCCCACGGTGCGGTGCCGCGGTGGGCACGCAGTGACCGCTGCTCTGTCGCAGGCGCTGGCGCACGGACCTGCCGCGGGGAGCCTGCCTGCTCAGCTCCCTCTCGGTGGAGCACGACAAGGTGCCCGTGGAGGGAGGTGTCAAGGCCATCGTGCTGACGTCCCAGTACCTCATCGAGCCCGGCGCCATGGGCCGCTCCCGGGTGACCCACATCTGCAGGGCTGACCTCAGGTAAGGGGACCCTCCGGGGAGGGATGGAGCAGCAGGATGTGCTGCTCCATGACACTGCCAGGGTCTTTCCTGCCCACTCACCCCTCCTGCCTCTTCCCTTCTCCAGGGGTCGGTCTCCTGAGTGGTATAACAGGGTCTTTGGCCACCTCTGTGCCATGGAGCTGGCGAGGATCCGAGACTCTTTCCCAGCCCTGAGTCCCACCGGCCCCGAGACAAAGATTTGAGGCACCAGGAAGATGCTCTGTCCTTTCAGACGTGGACTTGCTATTGGATCCGGACTGGGGCTCTCAGCAGGAGGCACGGTGTGGTGCAGTGCCCGTGGAGGGGAGACAGAGGCACATATTTATAAACATCCTTTCACCCCGGGCTGGGCAGTCCCGTGCCGCGGCCCGGGTGCTGCGGGGCAGGGTGGCTGCAGAGGGGAAGCCGTGGTGTCCCGCAGGAGAGGTGTGGGAGCAGAGTGGCCATGGGGTCACCCCTGAATGCAGCCTGTGGCAGGAAGTGTGGCCCCCACACAGGCCAGGAGCAACAGCGGGGGTGAAGGAGCGTGGAGTGAGGCGGGAGGAGCGAGCGGGGAAAATGGGGCCGTGTCCGCAGGTCGCAGTGCGGGGTTGGGAAGTGGAGGGTGGACAGCGAGGGGGGGATTGTGTGTGTGGTGTCACCCGGTGGGGACAGCCAGGGAGTCACTGTGTGGTAGTGGAAGAGGCTGCTGTTCTGGGAGGAGGGGGCTGCCTATAGATAGGTGCCAGCCCCTGTCGTGGGGCAGATGGAACCTGTTGCAGCATTGGTGCTGAATTCATGGAAGAAGCAGCCCTGTACTCCCGTGCCTTGCTCTTCCTTGGCTAAAAGCCCTCTCTCTGCACTGGGTGTCACTGAGAGGAGGGGTGGATGGACCATGTTCCAAGCCAAGGCCATCCTCAACCAGCTGACCTGTTTTTTGCATGGGGCAGGACACTGCTGGAGCCCTGGAGCAGCTGCACCTGGGCGGGAAGAGGCAATGCCTGGAAAGAGGCATCGAGGTGGGGAGAGACTGCCCAGACCAGCTCCCGCTTTGTGCTGCCCTCAGTGCTGAGGGCTGTACCCAGAGAGGGAGGAGGGATGGCAGGAGGGGCAGTTGTTTGGGATTCTCCCCTCTTCGGGCAGCTACACATGGCCCTGCCCACCCACTCCCTGCAGAGACATCTGTTCCCCTTTCTACCCCTTCCTTCCATTCATGAAGGAACTGTTCACTGGAGCTGTCAGCACCCAGGAGATGACCTGGTTTCTCCATTCAGGCAGGGACCCAAATTCCCAGACGTCGTTCCAACTGGAAGGCAACATGAACCATGAGCTGGGGACCCCCAGTGTCAGTTTGGCCATAACTGTCTGTCTTTTGGTAAAAAGAAAAGCACAAGTCAGCCTCTAGTCTGTGTTTTTATATATATGTATTTTATATACATATATAAAAATATAACTAACATGTGGGGGAGTGAATTTTCTCCTGATATTTTTTTAAAGCATTTCTTTTTTTCTATCTATAAATACTTGTACAGGTGGAATATTAATATATAACTGTGGTGGCAGAGCTCAGCACCAGGTGATGCTCATTTAGAGCTGGGTATTTTGTATTTAAGGGACTTTTGTATCATATGAAAGTGCAGCAGTTGTTTGACTTGGATTGGGGCTGCTCTTCCCATCCATGCAATTAATAAAGTACTAACAAGATCTGCTGGCTGATGAGGAAACCTCCATGCTCAGGGCTCCTCCAGCACTGGAGCAGCTCAGTGCTGAGCAATCTGTGGCCTTGGGGCAGCCCCTGCGTGGGTGAAGAGGCTCAAACCCAGCATTTTCCACATCCAGCTGTGCTCCAGGGCCTTGCCAGGGTTTGAGGCTCTCCTGGCATTGCCACCTGCAGCAGGGAGAGGACCTTGAGGAGGAAGATGAGCATCCAGCATCAGTGATGCTGATGAAGAAGAACCACACTGTGCTGTTGAATTCCCTGGAGCAGACACCTCCGGCTGCTGTTTTGGGAGTAGTGATGGGAATGGGGTGGAACATGCTGGAGTAGATGAAGATGATGGTGATGAAGGCTGCAAGATTAAAGCCTGGAGAGGAAGAAATCCCTCTCTGAGCTTGGTTAAAGTTGGAGGTTGGCAGCAGCAGGACTGCTCTGGCTTTTAGCACTAATGGGCAGAGATATTGGGGCAGCCCTGGCTCATCCCAAACCCACCCATGGCCAGGGCTCCAGCACTGGGATGGAGAGGGTACCCTCACCATCCTGGGATGGAGGCCAAGCTGGCATCTCTTCTTCCAGGGTCTCAGCAGGATGGCAGCACTCCACAGACCCACCCAAGCATCCACTGCTGGAGGGGTGTGAGCTCTCAGGGCCCCCCACTCCCACTGGGAACCCTGTCCTGCCTCACATCGTCCCCATCTCCAGTCCCAAGTCCCCAGCACACTGAATGAAGAGGTTCCCCACCCCCTGCACGATGCTGTGCTGGTGCAAACACTAAATAACGCCCCAAAGCCTCTGCAAAGCTGGCTGGAGTCATCCCAGGGCTTTTGGGCTCATCCCAGCTCCCAAACCCCTCTCCCTCACTGTCAACTGATCAGTCCAAGAGTATTTTCCTCCAGCCCCTGCTTTGCAGACACTAACATGTAAAATCAATTTCTTACTGAAATCCTCCAAGTTTCATTAACAGAGATTTATGTTTTCTCCCTGCACATTATTACAGATTAATCTTTTCAAACCTTATAAAAGCCAATCCCTACAACTCAACAAAGCCCTGCATTGGGAAATGATTGCAGAGCAGCAATGCCAGGCTCAGTTTGGCTTAATTAGAGATAAAAGGAGAGGAAATCATTCCTTATTAGCCAGTCAGGTAGAAGCTGTACTGTATTTAGAGTGCAAACAGCCCAATTACAAGGAAGAACATGCACAGTTGTCTTTCATTACAGGTACTTGAAAATGTGCATCTGGGGAAAATTAATGATGATTCTCTCCTTCCAAAGAGAAGCTGCAGCCATCCCAGCTGGCTGTGTGGGCCATCCCCAGCACAGCAGTGATGCTTGTCCAGCCTGAACATTTGCCCATCCCGGGGATCCTTGGGCTGTTTCCTCAGCCCTGGCAGAAGGATCTTTAAAGGCATTGCTCAAGCACAGCTCTCAGTGCACAGGTGGTGGAGTCTACCTGCCCCATCCCCACCCACCTCCACCTCCCTTCTCAAATTCACCTCACTCTGTACCACACCTGTGTCAGGACAGGACCCCAGTGGCTCTGTAACTTCTCTGTCTTCATGGGCAGAATGTTCCCCCTGCCCTGAATCAGTCCCAGCCAGGAGACACCCTCTTGTCCCAGGGAATTTAAGCAGTATTTTCATGCTGGGGGGCTTCCAGTGGGCTGGAATAACTTTCTCAGGGGATAGGAGTGAACTGGTTTCTCTTCTGCACTCAGATCAGGCTTTTTAACCCCAGGCAGTAGCTCAGCACCACAGCCACTCACAACCACCACCCCCCATGTGGGGATGGAAATGGGAAAGAAAAGGGAAACTTTGTGGGTTGAGATAAGAACAGCTTAGCAATTAATAATTTAAAAAAAATTATAGTGCTAATGAAGAGAGAGAAATAAAATGCAGGAGAAAAAAGTGATGCCCAGTCCAGTCACCCACCCCCTGCTGTCACAGCATCTTTACACTCTGGTGTGTTTCTCAACATGAGCTTTGTTAGTAGTCCAAGAATTTCCCACCCCTTGGCAGCAGTCCTTGTCCAGCTCCTGGGATTGCATCTCCTCCCAAGCCTGGGATGATGTAGGGCTGTTGGACACCTCCCCACACGGGTTCAGCCTCTGGGTTGTGCAGCCTAGCAAATGTTACAATGCAGACCCTGAGGGGCTCGGGGAAGGCTTGTGCAACCTCATGGCATAGATTTATATCCCAGGATTTCAAAGGTGTGACTTCCATGGCAGAGCTCTGCTCTCGTGTCCCAGGCAGCCCCTGCTCCAGCACGGCTGCACAGGCCCCTTCCCACTGAGATAACTTTGTGTTTCAGCAAACCAAGCCAGCTTTTCCTTTTGCTTTGTTTGCCGCTGGGATGAGCCCTCAGTTCTCACTCAGGCCTGGCTTCCCTGGAGCTTTTCTCCGTCTCTGGATGAAGACTACACCACCTGCCTGGCCTGGCAGTCACACAAACAGGCACTCTGATTTCAGCATTCCTGCAGAATGGACATTGTCTGGTCATGGACAAGATGGGAATTCAGGCATCCTCCCTTCCTGACTCCACTGACAGAGATTTGGGACAAAACCATTCATCTTTACATAAAAGAAAGGGCAGTGAACCTGTGCGGTCCTCCTGGCCCTGACAGACACTGCTCCTGTTGGAATCACACACCCAGCCTGGAGAAGGGCCTGCCATGTGTCCTGGGGGAAGGTGAGTGGTCCCAGCAGGAATCCTGAGGGATCAGCGCACTTCAGAACACACATCATCTGTCTGCAGCTCCCAGCCCAAGGCACCTCACTGGGCTCTGCATTCCCTCTCTGTCCTCAGGTGCAGGAGAAGATCCTTCAGGCAGAAAAGAGATGGAAGTGGGCAAATGGGAGGTAACATTGCTTTAACTGGGACTTTGAAAGTTAAAAAGGAACACAAAACGGAGTCATGCTGGAAACAGATTGACAAATCTGACCAGATCCTGTAGGTAAGTGAAGTCAGACAGTCCTCGTGGCACGGGGAAGACCCAGGTGCTGAAGGAAGCAGGAAACCAAGTGTTTCTTAGAAAGGTTTGGTGGCACAGCTACAAAACAGGATGGAAGGATATTTCAGCAAGATGCTCAGAGGATGCTGCAGCTCTCCTTTTAGTGACAGTCACCGTGCCAATCCCATGGTTTTTAAGTGGAATAATGACACCCTGCAGATCCCTCGCTGTGGCTGCAGAGGTCAGGAGGGGATCCCATCCTCCCCTGGCTGGTCCATCCTCAGTGCCGCTGCAGCTGGAGCTGGGGCAGCATCGAGGCACTCCCAGGGCACGTCCATGGTAACAGCAGACATGATCCTGCTCCCAAATGCCGATCATTCTTACAACATCCTGTTCCTGCTGGGGGCTGTGAGAGGCTTTCTAGGGCAGGAGCACATCCCATCAGCTGCCGAAGTTGTGCTGTGGGACAGCTGGCAGGCGAGTGGCTCCTGCTGCCCTGCCCTGCTCTCGCTGTTCCCTCAGTGCCTCTGTTCCACTGTGGCAGTGTTCCCCTGTTCCCTGTGGCAGTTCCACTGTGGGTGTTCCCCCAAAGGTGCTGCTGCTGCCTCTGCAGCCCTGCCAGGAGCTGGTGGCATTTCGTGTTTCTTCCCAAACTATGCAGGATTTTTACTGTCTCTCGTCAAACTCCTGTTTGTCACCTGGTGTGAGTTTATCACATTCGTTATTTTATCAAGATAACAAAAACCTCCCCAACCAAACAAACCTCACCCCAACCGCGTCACAATCTCTGGTTCCAACAGAGATATCTCCATAAAGCACAGCCCCTCCCTGGAAAACCTGCTTTTCCCAGAAACTTCCCCAGCATCCCAGCCCCAACTCCAGATGTTGAAGCAGCATTTGCAATAATAATCAAACCTTTAGCAAACATCATTAGTAACAGCTTGCCAATGAGCAGAAATAATTACAGGTAATTGCTCTATGGACAGCCAAGCAGGGAGCACCATTTTCTCCATGTTAAACCGGGAAACACAAGTAGGGAAAGAGAAGCACCAAAGGGCAAAAGTTGTTGTTGAAGGCTACGAAATGAGGAGAGACACCCACTCTGACCCTACACCACCTCCTGCTTGGCTGGCCTGGTGCAGGGGCCTGAACCCACAGCTCCAGGAGCATTCCCGAGGCTGGGATCTGGAGGCACAGCTGGCTGTGTTTGCCTTGTCACCGTGCCCCTGGTGTCGTGTCCCCAGCAGGACACGGCACTCCTGTGTTCCCCTGTCCCTTGGCTGGGGCTCCCGGCTGCCGTGGGACACCTCGGGAGAGTCACAACAAACTGGTGGCACTTTAGGGCGCCGCGGGGAGGGGATTATGCAAATGAGGACATCCGCTTTAATGGCATTCCAAGATTTTTAGTCAAATTTAATTACCTTCCTTCTTCCCCCTCTCTGTGCCCGTCCCTGATCAAATTAAAACAAACAACCCCCAGCAGAGTGTTTGTGACAGGAGTCGTGTTGGAGACTAATTAAAACCTGACGATTGTCACCGCGACGAGCCTGGCAGCCGCCCGTGGCAGGCGGCGGGGGGACAGGGACAGGGCAGGTGGCACTGGATGCTCCCCACGGCAGCTCATTATCCGCTCCCGTGTCACGGCTCCTGCCCGTGCCACGGCTGGCAGGGAGGGACCTGCAGGAGGAACACGTGGGTGTCAATTACTTCTGCGATAATTTAATGGACTAATTAATAAACCCATGCGGCACCTTCTCCGGGGTGCTGCGGGGGCGGGTGGGGTGAGCTGGGGGGTGGGACAGCTGGGCTCAGCGCTCTGTCTGTCACACGGCTGTCCCCTTAGAGGGATGGCCCTGGGCACACGGGGGCTCAGGCAGGTCCTGGCAGCTCCCCCCAGCACAGCACAGCGTGGGTTCTGTGTTCCTGCCCTGCTTCCCCTTCCCGGCAAAGCTCCAGGTTTGAGAGAAACCCCCGCTTTGCTTTCCTGAGGATTTTGCCTTTTTCCCTGTGGTTTCCAGCGCCCCTGTGTGCTCAATCCCACTGAGACCGAGCCGGCTGCTCCTGTTCCCTGTTCCCCCGGCCACACAGGTCCAGCCGGGCTGGGGAGGATGGTGGATGGATGTTTGCAGGCACTACTTGGCCGAGCAGTGGGAGGGAACGATCTCCCTGTCCTGAACCAGCTGTGACCCAGCCCCTCGCAGCCTCTTGTTATGGCATCGATGAAGTCACTAAGTGATCCCTTGTTCATATTCCCGTAAATCAATAGGTCCTGGCGCTCTAACACACTGGCTGGTTCCAGTATTTTAGTTGGGATAGTCCTCAAGGGGAGCTGGGCTCGTTAATTAAATCCATCTAATCAATCTGGCCTGGAAGGGCACCGGTTATTTATTCATCAGAGGCTGCACCGTGCAGCCCAGGCGATCTGAAAGGCAGTAAATAAACATGGAAATGAAAAGCTGAGGCAGCAGAGTTTGCCTGGGCCTGGGAGACTTCCGAGTCGGGTCAGATAAAATGGGATCACATGTTTAATTTAACAAAATCCAATAAAAAGTGCACCTGGATTGCACGAAATCCCTGGGATGGGGGAGCCGCCAGGGCTGACGCGGGAGGAACCCCTGGGGGTCAGGGTGTGCTCAGGCCCTGCCCTCCCTGGAGAGCCCATCCATGTCCCCACACCCAGGGGCACCTCGGGCCGAGGGCAGCACCAGGCTCAGCAGTTCCCATGGATTGTCCTCCTTGGCCGCCTGTGCTGCCCAGGAACTCACAGCACGGTGGGGCTCACGTTCCTGGAAGTTGATCACAAAGAGAGCCTTCCAGGAACTGGGGATGAGGAAAACTTGAGCTGATGGATGAGAAAGAGAAGGAGGGCGATATGTCACTTTTCAGCTCGTGGTTTGCAGAATTGTTCCCTGCTCTAGTGTGAAATGCTGGGGGAGCTGTGCTGCCAGAGAGCATGAGCTCCCTCCTGTCCCACCCAAGCCTGGTTTTGCTGTTGTTGGAAACCAGAGTCATTTCCACATTGCTGTGAATGCAAAGATCTGCAAACCAGTGCTGAATGAAGTATCACTGCTCTGAGTGGGGCATGGCTGAACACTTGGTGCATGGGGTTTGCTGTCTCTTGCAGCTTGAAGAGCTGAAATATCCCTTCTTCTGGCTTGGTTTTCATGAACAAGGACCTGGATTAACCTCCACGGTGTTGGGATTGCCCAAGAGCATTTCCAGAGCAAAGGCAGAGGGTTCCTGAGGAGTGAGGGTGGGAGCCCTCTGTCCAGCAGCCTCTGGGAGATTTCACCAGCCCTGGAATGATGCTCCTGCTTCAGGCAGTGCCTGAGGGACTCGTGGACTGATGGCACAGCTAAATACTGGGGTGGAAGTGGGAATGTGGGTCAGGGACCCACAGGGAGGACAGGAGGAAGACAAGGCACCACCGTGCCTGGGCAAAGAGACCTTCTTGCACCTCTGCAGGGCCTGACGAAGAGACATCTGGAGTGGCTGGATGGAGAAAATGAGGAAAACCTGCCAGAACACAAGCATGGGAAGAAGGGCTGGGGAAGAGTGTGGCAGAGACACTGCAGAGCAGAGACCAGCCCCAGCTGGACCATGGTTGGGGTTTGAGGCTGAGTCCCCCCATGCACAGGAATGTTCAGAGCTGGGGTTTGCTCCCAGCTGCTTTCCACAGCCTTGGGTGACTCTCAGAGGGAGGTGGCTCCCTGAGACACCGAGGGCAGGGGTGGGAGGAGGCCTTGGCAGTCCTGTGGGTGGTCTAAGCCAGAGTCTGCAGGGGAAAAAGGTGATTCAAGTATGGGTGGGTGCTGAGGCTGTCACGGCACAGGGAGGGGCTCAGGACTAGCCTGTAAATCATAATTAATGAATATGCAAAGCTGGGGAGAAGGGTTTGTCCCGCTGCAACTACCTTTCAATGTGAGAACTCTTGGATGTCACCCCACCCTGGAGTCATTTTCCCAAAGCCCCAGACACCTGTAACCTGGAAAACTTCTGCAAAGAGATGCACTGTTCACGTTTTGTGGGTGTGCTGCCACCGAGGAACAAGAACCCTTTGGCAACAGCTGCTCTGGAGGGGGACAACTCCAGAGAGCAGGAGAGTGCCCTCAGCCTCCTCCTCCTGCTCTCTGGGATGCCTTGGGCTGGCAGAGCCTGCAGCCCTCCCTCCCTCCCTCCCTCCCGGTTCATCCAGCCCAGCAGCACCACCCACAGCCCCAGCCACGGGCAGGGTGGGGACAGGTCCCTGCCAGGCCAGGGTGGGGCAGGTCCCTGCAGGGCCAGGGCAGAGCTCTGGCATCCCCGAGGGAGCCTTTGCTGGGGGGGCAAAGGCCGGACCTTCCTGAGCCCCCCCACCTCCTTGCCAGCTCCTTACATCCCCCCAGGCTGGGTTGGCACCTGTGGCTTTCCCCTTCTGCTTTCCTGGGAGCTTGCAATGAAGCTCTAATGACAGGAACACAAACTGTTAAGTGGTTTCAGTCATGAAGAAAGAAGCAGGGTTTGCATCCAGGTTTGGTCTAATCCAGTGTTTTTCCGAGCTGGTTTCTCTCCCTACACCCCAGACTCCTGGTGATTCCCCACGACCTCATTACTTCTGAGTTAACACAATGCACTTGGCTGCTGGAAGATGGTTTATTAATCCTGGACTCGTTCCCAAGAAGATGTGTCCTATCTAGAGACAAAATGCTTTTATCATGTGTCCCAAGATTCTGGCTAACCCCTTTGGTCTCCCCAAGCTTGGCTGGGTTGAGGACGAGAGCACGAGGAACAATACAAACTTTCAGACAGTTTTTCCTCCGAGGATCAGAAAGCCCAGACACGCCTGCCCGAAGGGTGCCCTGGGCAGGGGATGGGGAGGGGATGGTTCATTGGTGTCCCTGTAACAGCACAGGAGCTGTGTCCTGATCCTGGGATGAACAGAGCACATTCCCCAACGCAGCGTGTTCCTGAAATCCCTGAATGGAAAATCCATAGGCCTGGAAATGAGTGCATTTGTTCTCTCTCTCTCTCCATTGTTAGCTGGAGGAACAGCTAACAGTGTGTCTTCTCTGGGGGCTGCAGCGGGAAGACAGATGGTGAGAGTGGCTCCAGCTGTCAGTCCCTGGAGATGTGTGAAGGAATCAGTGTTTGACATCCGATTTAGCTCTGCTCCCTCCTCAAGTCACCTCCGTTCCCGGCTCTGAAAGACGTGCGTGCTTCTGAGATGGCTGAATTAAACCTCACCCAACCGAGGGGCACGTGCTCAGCTCCTCAGAAATGTCAGCTGCCAGCTCATCACCAGGAGCCAATGGATCTGGGCTCACTCCCTGGAATCTGGGTGTCTGCCTCCTTCCCCTTGCAGGGCAGAGTCACACTGGCCTGGGGGAGGATTGGCAGCCAAACCAAGCATGCAGAAACAGGCATGAACAGCTTCTGGAAAGGGGGAGCCTTTGGGGAGCATCCCCTTCCAGGGCCAGCTCCAGAGTGGGACAAGCCAAAGGAAGCCCTGCTTAGGGGACAGGCTGTGTTACCTGGGCAGGGGACACCTGAGAAGCAGAAACAATGGAAAGGAGGGGGAGGAGGAAGAAGAAGAGGAGGAGGAAGAGGCAGACATTCCACAAGAATCTCCATCTGTATGGAAAGGGGGTATGGTCCAGGGCTGTAACACGTCCCAGATGAGGTGGGAAGGGCTCAGCAGAGCATGAGTCACTGCAGGGGGGGGG